AAAAAAAAAAAAAAACGTCCCCGGGGGTGGGTGGCCCTCCGTTGGGTGGGGATAGGGGAGTCGGGGCTTGGCAGGTGTTGGTTTCCGAGGCATGGACCGCTGGTGGGGGGGGTGTATGTGGTGGTCCCGGGGGGCGGATTTCACACTTTGGCGGTTTGTTGAACTCGGACCACCAACCCGCAGCCCCAGTCGTGCGCTCGCGCCCCGCGGGACTACGTTCAATTTTTTTGCGCGCGCGCACGTGCAACACGTTTAAACGCGATTGAACGCGGGGCACGATGGGTTGAACGCGCGCGTTTGAACGTGAACGCGCGTTCACGGCGTTCAACCGGTTACACAGGCTGATCACGAGCCATGTTGAAGCTGCTCTCGAGTGCCTTGACATCCGGGTCGGCTGTGAATGTTATCCACTCCAATGTGCATCCCTCCACGTCCCCGTTTTCTCTCTCACTCTGTCTCTCTCTCTCTCTCTCTCTCTCTCTCTCTCTCTCTCTCCACACACACACACACATGTGGCAGTGTATATTTCCATATTGTCGCGATAGCGGCGATACATTCATTCAATTTAGCGATTCTGCGGAGTGGAAGTTGCATCAGCCAGCCGCGAGGTTGGAAAGTCACCTGTTCTCTATCTCTCTCTCTCTCTCTCTATGTATATCTAGAGAGAGAGAGAGAGAGAGAGAGAGACTAAAGGTAATGTTGCCGCAAAACGTGGAGTCTGTTTTGTTTTTTTTGTGTGAAGACACCGCACACACACACACAAACACACACACACACACACACACACACACACACACACACAAACACACACACAAACACACAGTCTCCGTTGCGGCACACGAGCAACAACAATAACATATGACGCCGCCACTGTTTTCTGATGTTCGCTTCACAACATAAAAAGCCGCAGCCCCGCCTACTATCTTTAAAATAGATGGGATGAGTTATACGCTTAAGTTGATTTCTATTGCCGCTGCCAGAGTTGTTATAAGTGACAAGTTGAACCGAGTCCATCTCTCTCTCTCTCTCTCTCTCTCTCTCTCTCTCACNACACACACACACACACACACGGAGTATGTCTTGCACCCACACCCACACACACGAACTTTCGCCACAATGACTCCCTGTGTCGACTGGAACCTTGTGGTCGGCCACCTGCCACGTCGTAGCATGTCACCCCCGTTTCCGAATGGCACACGCTTCTTTCCCAACACTCTGCGAAACCACCCCCGAGTCCCCCACCTCGTGCTGTCTTCCCTGGATTTGTAATCCACCGTCAACAATGATGCGCTGCCTAAACGACGACTTCCCTAACGCTGCGTAAACGAGGATTTCCCTTTCATTGATTGGAATCCTTGTGATGAGAGAGACAGAGACCTCCAACAAAACAGTTTGTCACAGCCCCTCATTGGTTGTCTTTTTCTCCCTCTCTGCCTACGGTTTATCGGCCATATTTATATATATATATATATATTTGACGATATATATATATATATATATATATATAGAGAGAGAGAGAGAGAGAGAAGCCTGCTGATGAGTCGTTGGAACTCCGACGAAACAGTTTGTCACAGCCCCTC